CTCGAGCCGTTCTTTATTCTCGAATCAATCAATATTAAGTTGCAGTAGCTGATGACAGAATTAAGGAACTTCCAAAAATACGCCTTAGACCTTTCATACGCGCGGACGTGTGCGCAAGAAAAAAAAACAAGAATTCGTTAAATATTAATGAGATGTGTATACATATATATGTACAACACTCGTACAAAATGGAGAAAGAAATTGCTCAAGGTCGGTCAATCGATATAGATGACGTCAAAACCGAGAAATGCGGCATAAATTATTTCTACTCGTGTCTAGAGAGTGCGAGATTTTAACTGATAAAAAGGATGATAGCTCTATTTGCTTCGCGGCCGTCATTTGATCTAAAAAAAATATTTCTGCCGTGCCAATCGCAGTTTTCTTATCTTCCTACAAGTTGTACTTTTGTATCGGCGATAAATGCCATTACCATAATATCATGAACGTTAAAACTGTCCCGTTAATTTAACATACCTCTCGAACCTGCGGAGTCGAGGAGGAAGGGAAGCTGCCAAACTCCTTACCATTTCTACTTTTCCCCACCATGACGATATTTGTACAGAGCCGCCCGTCGAGAACGGCCACGAAGAAATCTTCCTGGGCGCTTCACAAGAGGGGGGAAAATTAGTACAGAACAAAATCTAATGGGCCTTCTACAATAAGCTGCAAGTCAGAACGTCAGAAGTCTTAACCAGTCTTAACCAAGTTGTTCAAGTTGGTTATTGGCCAACTTCACCGATTATGACTTAAGATCGCTTAGAACTTCTGACTTGCGGCTTATTGTAGAAGGCCCATAATAGGAAAAGGTCAAAATAAAGATAAATCTAGATATTATGCTCGTTCATTCGAGATCTTTTCTTTAGCCGCGTTTTTCCTAGTCAAATTAGATAAGTATATAGTTTGGAGAACGGAAGAAAAGACGAAAAATATGAGGAAATGCTATAAGGAGAAAGTGTAGCTATATAAGGATCAGAAATTTGTAAATGATAGATAACACAAACACGCGCACGCACGCACGCACGCACGCACGCACGCACACACACACACACACACACACACACACACACACACACACACACACACAAGGAAATAAAATAAAGCACCGGTTTAAGGCTTTACGCCACTTTGTACTCTTTAAAAAGGCTTTTGGGAATTTTTTTGCGCGCGCGCGAAAAGGATAAAGTAAATTAAAAATCTATAAAGAGATATTTAACTACACATGTATTGAAGTATACAAATTTTTATTTTTTTCGAGGAAAATGGCGGCACTGTGATTATTTCAAATAGATTATGGTTTTCAGCGAACATCCAATCGGCAGACAACTAGATTAGCTGCGTTCAATAAAAAAAGCAACTTTGCAATTGTTGTAAAATTCTTTGATTGGTCTTGTCTTTAATTCCTCACTGAATCTAGATGTACATAAACCAGTCATATTAAAAAATCATACAATTATTGTGCAAACTGCTTTTTCAGCTGAACGCAGCCATTACCATGAAACGATTTTGTAAAAAGCAAAAACCAAAAATTTTACACATTTATTAAAGGTATTTACTAAAATACGTAGGGATTTTCAGAAATATGCTTTTCTGAAAAATGACCAATGAATATTTGAAAAAAAAATATTTTTGACTAAAAGATTTGGCACAAAAATGTTAATAACAATATAACAGTTTTTAACTAATTGAAAAATCATTATGTACTTTTTTTTGTAGATAATTAACAAATAAAGATTCTCGGTAAGTTTCGAGTAAATCAAATAAAAATTGTAGAAATTGTGATGTACGCTGATTTGAAAAATGTCGTTTTAAGAAAAACGTGTTTGTTTTTCATGTATGTTCTTCGCGCTTCAAAGAATCAGCTTGTGTAGATATTTTGAATTTTTCATTTCAACTAGTGAAGCTATATTTTCGCATGTATAAGCAGTATTATTTAAAAGAAAGAAAAATTTTCTATCTTTTTTTAAATTTCAGAGGTGTAAGTCTTAGATGAAGAAAGTAATCTTTGAAGAAAGGAATGAAGGATATCCAGCTGGCGATACTCTTAGAGCTGTGTACACATACGTATAATTAAGGCTGCCTTCCGTTTCACGCATGATGCGCATGTTGCATTATTTATCCTTGTTACTCACCGAATGTTAAACAAGGATAAATGATGCATCATGCGTGAAACGGAACGCAGCCTAAGTCTGTATTTTATTCTAAATTTTAATCTACAAATTACGTTTGTGAGCCAAGACTCGCAAGAAGCACATACAGCTCTTGTTTATCGTATTAGATAACTTCTTACATTTCGACAGAAATTGTATTGATCTCCTTTATTAAAGAACGATAAAAAGGAAATCAACATATATGTCAGAAACGTTAATGTTTTTATATTAAATAAACATATCGTTAATAACTTAAGATGTTAATGGAATGGAATTTTCCAGATTTGGACGGATAAAAAAAGGTCGACCTGTAAAGCACAGATCCCTAATGAGAAAACATTTGTACAACTTGTTTAATTAAACCCATTTATTGTGTTTGCTACATAATTTGCCGTATGAAGGTATAACTATGCAATAAAGGATAAAAATTAATCGGAATGAAAAGATTCGCATCCGAGAGGTGCGATAGATAAGTGGTGGAATGTGCGTAAGCAAGCAGGTTTCTACTGATTAGAGCTTTATAAGCTTGCTCGACAATTTACACACACATTATCTAACGCACCGCGTTAATTAATACAATTCACCAATGCTGATGGAATTCCGTTCTTTAGTAAACTAGGATATGTACACTTTATTCTAAATCTGTAGATTTTTTCTAAAAGTCTGCGGATAACTTATTACGTATATATATACAGGGTGTCCCAAAAAGATAGGGACACCTAAATATCTCGGGAAATATAAGTTTTACAGAAGTGTTTCAGACAAAAGTTATATGGTTTAAAAATATCTATTTACTGATCCTATCAGTTTGATCTTGGGTTGCGTAGCCAAAGTCAGGTCAAGGTTATATTGATTTTCTGAAATGGAACACCCTATTTTTGATTCAAAAATCTAATAGCTGATGTCGAGAGCTTTCCAAAACGCTATAACGAAATATTTTTTTATGAAGTACTTTTCAAATTATAATGCTTCAAAGTTACAGTATCGCCGGCATTAGTATTACCCAAAATATTTAATTTTGGAAACTGACCAGTCAAGGCGAGATCGGTCGGTGGTCTGTGAATCTTGACCTTTAGTTAACGCACAAACAAAAACAATAACGCGTGGTATTACATATGGGTGGCACCCAGTTGGACACGGATTAATTGGACACGAGCCACTCAGTTGGACACAGCGCTTGAGACTACAAAGTTCCTAAGCACCGGTCACTGTGATTGGTGTCCAATCGAGCCGTGATCAATCGGGATCACCCCTTACATATCTTGGGTAATGCTAGTGCCGGCGATACTGTAACTTTGAAGCATTATAACTTGAAAAGTGCTTCATGAAAAAATATTTCATTATAGCGTTTTGGAAAGCTCTCGACATCAACTATTAGATCCTTGAATCAAAAATAGGGTGTTCCATTTAAGAAAATCAATGTAACCTTGACCTGACCTTGGCTACGCAACCTAAGGTCAAACTGATAGGATCAGTAAATAGATATTTTTAAACCATATAACTTTTGTCTGAAACACTTTTCTGTAAAACTTATATTTCCCGAGATATTTAGGTGTCCCGACCTTTTTGGGACATCCTGTATATAAAATACATTAACGAATACTTGTTAAGAAAACCACGCGTACAAATTGATAACATGAAACAATAGTGAGTTACCATAAATATTAGTACAATTGTAAAATACAGTTAGTGGCAGAAAAATGAAGATAATTACCTAAAAATAAAATTAACAAATATAAGGAAGACCAAAGCAGCATGAATTACGGAGTATCATGGATCATTGACTTAGACTTAGAGTAATTCAGTGTTTAAATTAATATAACTGGTATTATACGATTGTTGCATGCATTTTTAGATATAATTAATTTATTTATATAAAAAAAATTAGAAAAAATCTTATATTTAAAAGTACTTTTAGGAGTTTAAACTTTTGTTGCTGCGGTCTCCCCTATATCTAAATAAAACTAATACAAGATTATGTTGTACGGCGGTAAAGGTTCCTAAACAAATAGATTATTTAAGAATACCCTTAGCTTTGAATACATCCCTCATAAATCCCTTCAGATATTTTATCTCCTGCTGCAAGTTTTTCATCTTTTCTTTTAACTTCTCATTGTGCTCCGCCAGTTCGCGCTCTTCGCCCTGTATCTCTATGATCTCTTGTTTCTTTTTCTGTCTATAACGTGTGGCAGCGTTCTTATTCTGTTCTTTTTTCCGTACCTTCTTGTCCTCAAGAGACGATCGAGAATACGGCTTATGGCGATGCTTCGAAGAATCATGAACTGTTTGTTTCAGGCTTGTTCTTTTCTCGGTTTCGAGACTCCAATCGGGGTCGTCAATGGAATCGTCGGCCGAACTGCTATTGGAGCTGCACGGACTTACGGGAGACGGTATATCCTTGGTGTGTGAGCGAACGTATTCATCCACCACCGCTAACTCGTTCGCAACATCCCCGCCAAGCGGATTTAGCGAGTCTACGTTGTCGGTGTTCCACTGACGCGGTATATTGCCCACATACAGCGGTTGTTCTGTTGGAGCTATGTTATATATCGGTTGATCGTTGGCGAACGATTCCATAGGCTGCAAGGTGACCAGCAGCTGCGTGTCCACATTGACCGATTTATGCGAGGGTGATTGCGGAGGAGTAAGCGTCGAACTGGTTGGTGGAATGATCTGATGGCAAGCCTCGACGTCACCCAAAACCGTTTCAAATTCCTGCAAGAGGGTTTGTGTGTTATCATGTTGTTGCTGTTGCTGCTGCAATGTCTTCGTCACCGTCAGTGGATAAATGACGGTGGAGTAAACCGGCAGCGGTGATTTGTTTTCGGGAAGAGATATTTGTTCAAATATAGGCAGCTCTATCTTTTCCTCCAGCCAATCTGAGAAGGGTTCTGAAAGCAAACAGACGATCTTGATTAGAATGACAGTTGTTTGCGCAACTTGGTTTTAGTGTGGCTCTCTGTGGAATAAAATCCGAGACATATATGAAAAGTGATAGGGAATGACAAGTTTCAACTTATCAGAAATTGCGTATGCCAGAATACACGATTCTGATACAAATTAAAATCTGTTCTGCGATAACAAATTAAAATTCTTTGTTCCTATTGCCTGTGCTTTTCAATTATATGCATTAGGTTAATCCGTTAAAATTCCTTATATATAAGCAAGAATTTGAATTTTTTATTGATCTATTATATATCAAGCTCATTACGAAGAAACTTATATTGTACTATTATATAGATTTTATAGATTTCTTCTATTTTACAGACTTTTCTTATTATAGTAATATTTCTATTCTACACTTATTACAGTAATAATATATATATTTATAAACTTTATTGAATTAAATGTATGCGCTGCAATTAGCGGACAACATTCAAACTTACTTAAGAAATTCTACAGTCCGCATGCAAACAATATCGCAAATTCTTTGGGTAGTGATATGCGCGGCCGATGGCGCCGTAGATCGAAACGCGCCTACCCTGTTTCTAATTGACATCGCGTATCAGTTCGCGCGCCACGCTCGTGATGCATTCATTCGTTTGCAAATGAATCACACTGGCGATATTATATTTCCTAGTATGTGTGCATTGTTATTGGATAATGTGAGACGCAATAATACGTCTCTGAAAATATGGCATGGCTGGCAAATATTTTACGATGTCTAAGAATGATCGATCCTCTTATTTTCCATAACGTTAAGACTGTTTACCGCGTATTACGTTCCGTAAAAAAATTATGTTATCCATATTTTATCGACGGCGTCGAATCGAGTTTTCTTCCTCATTCTTCAGTGGCAGCACTTGTAGTGCTCAGGAAAGAGATTAATTTTATGTAAACGTGTCCTGAGTAACATGTTATTCGATAATATTCTTTTTATGTATCAATTTGATTAAAAATTTCAAGCTGATAGCTAACAGTACTTGCAACGTGCACGAACAATAAATAGGTGTGGCGTATTAATACAATTTCATGGACATTAAGTAGGAAAACAAGTTCCTCATTTGCAATCTCATTTATAATGAGATTAATTGCTGGGCTGCAGCGACGATTTTTTTTATTTCGTATGCAAAGTGATGTTTATGAAAAATAATACATTTTTTTAAATCGTTACTAATGACTGCACATGCGTTGATAGCCTTATAGAACTTGGACGAATGCTTCAAAATGCTCTTATCTTTCTGAAAGATTTCACCTTCTCGAGGACGTAATCGATCAAGGATCTACAATGTATAAGTGAATAATTTTCGCACTCTCTACGACAGCCGTGACCTATTTTATGAAACTTTGATCAGTAGCTATTGGATGTTATCTTCATTTAAATACAAGAGGGCATGAGGTTAGATAAGACCATTTCTGTATTCGGATGACGTTAAGTGTTAGAAGTGCACAAAGAACTTTCAGGAAAACAGAGATACGCGGCGAGTGCAGTTAAAATGTCATCAAATAAAAAAAAATGCTACTATACATGTACATACCGTATTTTTAAATAAGATACTGTTTTAATTGCACTCGCATGTTTTCTTAAAAGTTCTCATATATATATATACTGAATTCATTATCATAACTTTTGTTTCTTAAGAAAATGGATTGACATCAAATATATTAGGTGTACAACTTTGCTTCCGCCGTCTTTTTTCCGAAATTCGAGGCTTTATTGTAAAAAACTGATTATACATTTATGATTCAAAGTATTGTCCATCGCTGGCCACTACTTTATCCCATCTTTCGGGCAGCGTACGAATCCCGCGTCAAAAAAACTGGTCATCTTTTGAGGCGATCCACGAATCGATCCAATTTTTTACTTCTTCATAAGACCGGAAGTGCTGATCAGTCAGGCCGTGTGCCATTGATCGAAACAAGTGATAGTCAGAGGGAGCAATGTCTGCATCTGGAGAATACGGCGGGTGGGGTAGGACTTCCCATTTCAACGTTTCCAAGTATGTCTTGACCACTTTCGCAACATGGGATCGAGCATTGTCATGCTGCAAAATCACTTTATCGTGTCTCTCGTTGTATTGCGGCCGTTGGTCTTTCAATGTTCGGCTTAAACGCATCAATTGCGTTCGATCGCCTGTGATTGTTTCAGTCGGTTTTAACAGCTCATAATACACTACGCCGAGCTGGTCCCACCATGACCTTGGAGCCGTGAATATTCGGTTTGGCCGTCGACGTGGAAGCGTGGCCGGGAACTCCCCATGATTTTCTGCGCTTGGGGTTATTGTAATAAACCCATTTTTCGTCCCCAGTCACAATGCGATGCAGAAATCCCTTCCGTCTTTGCCTTTCAAGCAGCTGTTCACAAGCAAACAAACGCCGT